TGTGTGTGTGTGTGTGTGTGTGTGTGTGTGTGTGTGTGTGTGTGTGTGTGTGTGTGTGTGTGTGTGCTGCACAGTGCTATTCAGCATCCTGTACACAGCTTCTTCCACAAAAACTGGGCTCTGAGTAACAAAAAAGGAGAATTGAGGATTGTTTTCATCTTAGTCCAAAGAAGAAATAGAAGCAGTGAGATGAAATATCATTATGCACATGTTTCTGCTTGGCATTATTCGCAGAGCAGCTGTCTGTCTCTTAATATGATTGCATGTATTTGTACTTCTGTTGTAGTAAATAGTGTTAGCTACTTATCATGCAGGGGGATGAATAATAGGACTTCTCTGCCTCACTGTTCCATGTAAATGTCAGATCATGAATATGATTTACTGGGTTAGTGCTCATAACTGGTATCCTGGTGCACATCTTATCACAGTCACAGAGAATGGAGCCCTTTGGCCAATAAAGAAAATAATTAAGTCAGTTTGTGTCTTAGTTATTTCTTTATTGGTTGTGATAGTTCTTTTTAGTATTTTTAGAGTTATTTGAATGAATTTATGTAAAGTCTTCAGGTATGTATACAGTTTGTATGCAGTGTATTCAACTGAGCACTGCAAACAAGCCGGATGGTCCCACTCTTCTTTAACCCAGAGGATAACAGCGTCCATGTTTTCCTAAAAGAATCTCAAATTTAGATTCATCTGACCACAGAACAGTTTTCCACTGTGTCTGTGAAGTTTTCCACTGTCTATTTTAAATGTGCTTTGATTCAGAGGATCATCTTCACATATGTCTTTAACCTGTATCTGCAGTTGGCACAGTGAACTTTGATTTCTGGAAGTGTTCCTGTTGTGTGTTTTTAATGCACTACTGCTGGGGGCCAGAAGATCACAGGCATGCAATATTAACTTCTTGATCTTATATCTTATGCACAAAGATTTCTCCAGATTCCCTGAATCTTTGAATGGGATCTTCTGACTCTTTACAATTTTACAATGAGCAACATTATTTTGAAATTGTTCCAAAATTTGCAGATTAAAGTTTTGCAGACTGGTGAACCTCTGCCCATTTCAACTTCTGAGAAACTCTGCCTCTTTAAGATGCCCTTTTTATACAGATAAGTATAAAAAGTGAGAGTACAGACTCTGTCAGGGATGCTGTCTTCATACAGAGTCATGTTACTGACCTGTAGACAATTAAACTAACTAATTATATAGCACATCTCCAAGTATTTCTTTTTAGAACCAGTTACTTTTCCCGCCTTTTGTGGCCCCATCCCAACATTTCAAAATGTGCTAATCACTTTTGTGAAATAATAACTCATCAAAGTTTAAATATTTGATGTCTTCTATCGTGAATAAAGTGTGGATTCATGAGAGGACACATTATTGCATTCTGTTTTGATTTACATTTTACATAGCATCCCAATATTTTTGACTAAATATAAGACACTACACTGGCAAATGTGACATAAAATGAAAATCCCTTAGAGAAAAACAACCTGGGATTGTAAAGATGCTATTACAAAAAAGATCAGCACTGCACTTATCTGTTCATTTTCACTTCATAATGTAGGCTTTGCATGATCTCTGTTTTCCTATCAGCAATCACATTTAAGAATATGATTCATAATATTAGACATTTCTGTAGCTTGGTCAGGCCTCACAGGAATACTTCATTAAAGCACTTACTCACTTTTACAATCCCCTCCACTCCAGCCTTGACGGCACTCAGTACAATACTTCCCATTCACGAAGAAGTCATCATTAGCTCTCCATGTTCCATTGTTGCAGGTTTTACAATTCTCAAATAGACTGCAGCCTGGAGAGAGACAACGGCAGAGCAAAAAGTAATAATTGAAAACATTTTTTAAGATAAATTGGAACTCCTAGTCATTTGCAGTATACCACAACAGCTCTGATATTTTTTCACAACAATATATTATGTAATATGTTTTGTTTAGAAAAAACAGAAAAGGACAAGTATTTACCTGGATGAACAATACAGGGGTCACATTCATCCAGGACATTGCGGCAGCAGGGAACAGTGTAGCCTACCCTTGTGCCTTTTGATGGACACCGACACTGGATCAGGTGGTACTCACAACACGGGCGACACATCACGTTCCACTGAGAGCTCGGGCAGTTGTCTCCCTTCAGGGCTGTGAAGGAAAAGGAAAATATTTAGATTTTAAATCTAAGAGCTGCCAGTGGAAACCTCAGCATGAGTAAAATAAGTAATCGTAAATTATGTGTTTGTGATTGTAGAAAAATAGTCAACAGTACCAACAAGTCCCTTTCAAATATCGTCTGATGAGGCAGATCAAACTTCCAAGAACATATCACATGATGGTATGGCACCATATTGATCTTTTACAGCAGGTAAAAAACATCAAAATCAAACAGGGCTATACGAGTATACAGTGTGTGTACACCAAATCTCAATTTGCCCTTGTTTAACCTCCTAGGACCTGGCATCCACATATGTGGCCATCACATTTTGACTAAAATACTAAATTTTGCTCTACAAGGGCCTGATATCCACTTATGAGGACATTATACTGCTACTGTTCTATCGAAATTTTAAACAAATATCCTCATATGTGGCTCTCATTTTTCTTAGAAACAAAAATTAGGTAAAAAAAAAAATAGGTAATTTTGTTTTTACATTCATCGGGTCCCAATATGCCCAAAGATCAAAGAGAAATTAAAAATGCATGCTGTGGAAGAGTTTGGGTCTTAGGAGGTTAAACCTAGTGTCACATCGATGCTGATCACATTGAGCAGCTTGAGAACGATCCAAATACATCCCAAAATCCAATTTATGATGCTTCATTTGGAGCACTAATGAATATACCTGCTGTGTGATGGTAGTTTTCTCTCAAACAGAAAACTGCAGTCAATCAGTGAACATGTTTCTCAGGTTATAGCTCCCAAAGGGCAACAAACAATTACAGCTTTCCCAGGTTTAATTCTACTCACAAAGGCAAATGAATTCAACTGTAAAAGTATCCCAGCTTTAGTCACTGGTATGCCTGATATCTGTATCTGTGTACGTTTTACTCTTGTTTCAGTAAGCCACACTGAGTGCATAGCATGAAGTGACTGAAGTCTCAGATGAGCAGAAGAAGTGACTCATAGTTATAAAATAACTCCACAATTAGTCAGCAACTCAGTCAGCTGGCTTATTTCTTGTTAAAACTTTTTTTTCCCATAAAGACACAAAAGTTCACAAAGACGGTCTCATTGGAATTTCAGAATCAGAATATAATATATTTTACTTACCGTGTGTCCAGCCCATTAGACACAAACTGAGATTTAGGAAGAGGTGGAAGATTAGGGGGACGCTCTTTGTGAGGAAAGGAAGCATGGTGGCTGTCAAACAGCAAGAAACCTCCCGAGAAACTCCAAGAAAGGAGCAAAAGCTTGATGATATCCACAGTATCCTGGTCTGTCTGAAGTGTAACTGGCTATAGACGATTCATTTTCCTGTGTTAGCACGGTGGACGGAAATCTTTAACCCATTACTTCCGTTGTGCTCTCATCTTGTGAAAGATTGCATTTGGTCTGAAGTTGTGCACAACTGTACTGGGTCTGCAAGCAGTTCCTGTTCCTCTCCTCTTGTTATGAGTCCGGTGTGTGCGCTGAGTAAGAATGGAAAAATATTGGCAAAGGTAGTGGAAAGTGCATTTAGTGGGAATAAAAAGACGATAATGAGAAGAACAGCGGAAAGTGATGAAGAAAGTGCAGGCAAAAAATATCCATCAAGTCCAGTGAGGAAGGTTTTTAAGGGAATCTTTCTGAAGCTGCAAGTTAGACACTCAAAACCAGTTGTTTTTGCACAGAAACACTTCATGGTACAATTGCAGATTTTCATGTGCATCAAGCCAAATGCGTTTACTGATAGTTCATCATGCACCAGCTGTCATACTAGACGTGACAGCTTCACAACATCTTGGAAAACGAATAACAGATGTACTCTCTAAAGTTGTTATGAAATGTTTATGTGCCTGAAGCTATGAGGCTGACAGCTCATCACCGCCTACTTTATGCCAAAGGTTTCTTTTCCATCGCCTAAGCTTTTAGTATTTCCATATTTAAGTATCTGTTTTCATGCTTTCCCTTACAAGCAGGGCGTGAACAGACAATTTGAGACTTTAAAAGACATGAGGTAAACTTGTTGTGATACCTAATATTCTAGATATTACAACAAATTTAACATTGCTATTAAATTCTTTTTGTTCTTTTTTCTTTTTTTTCTAAATGAGTTAGAGCATTGAAATTATTTATCTTGAAGATGTGGATGGTGTTGCCTTTCACTTCTTTTATTTTATAAATAACAATAACAAAAAAACATGGTTTCATCACATATGTTGATATTAAGTTGATCTACAGTACTTTGCATAGATTTTACATGTCATGTTTGAATGTTTTATGTTCCTTTTAGTCGCTGTAATGGTTTTTGTATAGTTGTCTGTGGGACTTTTCTATTGTTTTTGTTAAAACGTTAAATAGACTGGCCTAAGAAAAGCTCAGGAGAGATAGCATTGGAAACTTTTAAAATTAAAAATAAGTAAACTACGCTTTTATTTTTGAAAATCTAACTCACTGAGGGGTTTTATTTTGAAAATCTGATCCATTTCGGATGATCAAATTTATTTTCTAAAGTTAACTTCGGGTTTTCTAGCTTTACAATTTCACACCATTAAAGCAAACAGTTAACATTTAATATGTAATTTGAGTCTTTTATTTTGTAATTCTGAACATCCTGTAAGTATGCCTCAGCTTTTAGTCTTAAAAATAGAAATGTGGTAAATTGACACATACTTACACAGGACGTTTCTGCTCTAAATCAGTGTTCAAAGTGCATTGTACTTCTAACATGATTCACCGAATTGCTTACATTCATAATTTTTTTTTCTATGCCCAAGCGATTTTATCTAACATTCACACAGTCGTAAGTCGTAAAATGGCTGCGCGTCAGGCAGATTTGGACCCAGACTCAGGACCCCTGACACAAGGAATTAACTTCAAACTCAGCTATAGTCCTGGAAAATCACAGGAAACAACCCAAAACATACACAGAGCAGGGAATTAGCAGAACAAACTGAAAACCTGAAACCATGTCACATAACCACGAGGGAGGACACAACAAAGGGAAATGCACGATTCAGACAATAAATACACACCAGATACCGAGTACAGGAAACAGGTGAGAGACGAGCTAACACTAATCACAGAGGATGAGGCAAGGAAGTAGAACTAAATACAAAGTGAGATTGACAGAAGAAATTACTGGTACAGAGACAGAAAATCAAACAGGAACATTGGGAGTAGCTCAGTTCAGTATCTGGACCAAGACATGCAGAACAGAGGAGCTGGAGATCCAAACACCAACCTTTCAATTGGTAGCCGACCAGCTCTGCTTTCTGAGCTCCAAAGGAAAACTTCTTGCACTAAACTGAAGGCTTTTGTTTTTAAAATCTCATTCATTTTAAAATAAACTGGTGGCTTTTAATTTGAAAGTTTGAAAGGCTGCTGCTCCCTATTGTCACTGTTTTCTATCGTTCATCAGCATATCTGTGTATAAGGCAGACATGGGAAGCTTTAAAGTGTAAATATCAGCTTAAATACTTGGAGTTTTGATGATTTGCCTTTAAACTGAAATATACCAACTAAAGTTAGATAACTTACTCAAAAATATAAGCATTTCTGTTTCCCACACATTATGTCGAACCTCAAACTTGCAGCCAGTCAGGGATGCTGGCAGGCTGGAGAATAAATAACTTTAAATTGGCTGAAATGTGTCAAAGTCCATTTCAAGCAGCTCCATGTATATCAGTTATTTTGAAGATCTAAGGCTTTAACAACTGGTTTGGCTTCACATACAGTATATGCTGAGATTTGAAATGTCTGAGACTCTGTGGTGTCAAGGTTATCATGGATGACACATCCAATATTTAATGTTGCAGGTTGTATATATTGTTAATGTATTATATTAATTTTCATAGAAGTGTTTAAAAAGAGAATGAGCTGGAAATACACGTATATCCAAATAAGCTACACAGGGCTATTGTCTCTATAAATGTGATTATATTTAGCTTAATGAATCAGGGCTTTCTCTTATAGATACATTTGCATGACTTGATGCACTTGTGCACAGTTTGGTCCAGTCAGCAAAAAGTTTGTCAACATTAACATTTAGTGAATTAAACTCATGCTGATTCTTATATTAGTTCTACGAGAAGGCTGCCACACAGCCAACTCACAACTAGTTTGACAAGCTTAAATTTCCTGACAGTAGGAGTTATTCGATAAAATCCAGTTCATCTTGTTGCAAAAGCAATGTAATGAATCTTTATTTTTATTCTTGAACATATTTCCAGTCTTACCTAGCCTGTTACTGAGCCTGACATCTCAACAGCCGTGTAGGTTTCATTTAAAAGAAAGAACTGAATTATGTAGTGCATCTGTAAAGTACCTCCCAGGTTTTCTGGCAGTGAAACTGGCCTTTACAGCTCCGTCTCTTATATTATATTATCCTGTGGTTACATGCCATTTGACTTTCTGAAGCTTCTGTTCTCTGTCCGTGACTCAACATCTTGACTGGTACATTGACTCAAATTTTAAAATGACACCACAAAATTCATTCTGTGTTTGCTGGGGATTAAACGGTCCTTGAGCGGCCTTTGAGGAGTCTCTCATGATGCTGAGAGCTTTCTTCTTGCATTGATCCTTGAAACTGGTTTCCAAGTAGGGGAGTGAGATCCTGATGACCCCTTCAACCATCCTCACACACGGCAAAATCTTCGTGTCAGTCACCATGCAACTTATCAGAATGCTCTCAATAGTACTTCAGTAAAAGATGGTGAGGATTGTGTATACCGTATATATATGTGTGTGGCTGCGCGTGTGTGTGTGGCTTCAGCATCTTAAGTACGTGCATCCTCTACCTAAGTCTCCTTGGCCAGGCGTGTGGTGTTGAGTTCCACAAGAGAGCGTCTCTGATGTAGACAACCAGGAATTTTGTGCTGCTGACCCTTTCCACGGTCAAGCTCTTGATTTGAAGTGGAGCATGCTCAGCTTTTGTTGTGTCCACAATCAGCTCTTGGGTTTTGTTGACACTAAGAGACAGATTGTTGTCTCCACACCACACCAGCTCCACCACTGCTCTGCCAGATGTTTCATCCTGTCTGATGATGGGTTTTATACTGCTGCATCAAACTAGACGAGCTGATTTGTGCTAAGAATTTGGCAGTGCAGTCGTGTGTCACCAAAGAGAGCCTTGAGGCGACTGTTGGTGTGATTTGGTATTTGATATATACCAAATATGTTTTTTTTTAAAAACTGAATTGAACCTAATTTAACTGAACATGAAAAATGATCCCCTACCCCACCCTCTGCTACAGTTTCAACTGAGCCTGGTCATGCTAAATCCTTGGCTATCCGTCACTCTGTCTTTACAGCTTTTTGTAAGCAACAAATACGAACATCTCAATGGTTGTAATGACCCATCTCATTTTAGGAAAACAGATTGGACCTCGCTTATATAATATTCCGACTCCTTACGGAATTAAAAGTGAAGGGGCTGTGTTAGCTTTTATTGCATGATGAGAACCTGTTTCTACACCTCATGGTTTTTGATGGAAAACATCAAAGTAGCAATTAACTCTGCCATCAGTGAAGTGACAACCACTATTTGACCACCACTTTGAGCAGACAGACATGAAGAGGCCTGAGTGATTTCTTATGATACGTGCAGCCTTTGAAGTGGCAGTCATTGCTGAAGATTTTTTCCTCATTCTGTTATGTCAAATCTGACCTAGAGAGAAAGAGATGAGGAGTAGGGGATTATGTATTCCGCATTATGGCACAGTTATAAAACTTTCATCAGTGCCACAAGGCCAAACTCACTGTTGAGATGAGTTCTTGACATCAGAGACCAGTGTTTTTTAGCTCATGTAATTACGCACAGTGCTCTTTCAGCTATTTTAGCCCTCTGTTGCTCAGAGAAATATTTCATTTGGACGTCAAAGACTGTCTCATCCAACCCCACTCCGACATCCACTGGCCTCCATCTTGTGACAATAACCAAACTACCCAGTGAAACACAGAGACCTCTCACCATACACAGTAAAAAGGATTGTGGAAGACATATGATCGCGATACACCAGTTACATGAACCTTGCTGTTAATGTCTTTACCACAAGACTTAAAGATTTCATTTACAACAAAATTAAAACTGCAATAATACATTTAAAAAATGTTTTTGGAAGAAAATTCCTTAAATACATGAGACATATTGGTCAGTATGTCTCACATATTTAAAGAGTTCATTTGGAGCATTGAATGCTAGGGTTGGGGGCTGAATTAGATGGGTCCTACGGAGTACTAATTCATATGAAGTCATTCAGTGCCAAATTTCAGTATAAGAGGACATCTAGGCTAAGAACTACAAACACACATGGCAATGGCGGCAGCTGTGGGCCAAAAGCAGTCTCATCTGTGGTAATGCTTTTTAAAATTCAACACAGACAAAAATCTCTGCAGCATTTGTAATGCTAAACTGAGCTAAGCTAAACTGAACTTTTTCCACTTTGTTAGTTGATGAAAGCACTTACATAGGGAAAGCACAGGAAAAA